CAGTTTTGGTGCTTGTTATGTGGCTCACAGCAGTGTCAACACACTGGAAAAGCTAAATTTAGGAGACAAACAGGGCTGGTGGTGTTACACACCCAGCCAGGACTTGCTCTGTTATAAGACAGCTGGAGAATCGATGCCATCCGCAAACCACACGCGAAGCCCTCGCTGCCTGAGTGAAAGCGTTACCAAGTCACTTGGAATAAAATTGCCACTAAATGCTGTTTGGGAGACAGGAAAAAAAAAAAAAAAGGCTAATCCTCACTCTTTCTCAGCCATTGTAGGAAATGAAAACGGCTATTGCTGCCTGGTAGAGAGTCCAATTATGAATAATGTGCGTTCTCTCCCTGCACAAAGGATGAAAGGCATCAGAGCTGGTGGTGACATTTTAAGACCGGAGATGTAAGAGCGAATCTGAGCCTCGTTGCAAGCCCAGCTTTACCCCAATAAAGAAACACTTTCTGCAGTCAATTGCCTTGCAGCATAGCTTGAAGCCCCGCTATTGATCTAGCATCTGTTATAAGCAGATAATCATCGCCACTGTGCCGCGGCTTCTATGATGGGGTCTAAAAGCACTTTCCAGAAGCTGGTTGAGGGCTGTTTTCTGCTCTCCCCCACGGCTGCAGGCAGGCAGAGGTTTGCGGGGGAGCCCACAAAAATCTCGCAGGCTTACAGAATTTGAAGGCCAGAAAAAAAACATTAAATCACCCCCAACTCATTCATCTCCCAGCGCTGTAAACTTCAGCTAACTGAGGTGTACTCCCTGCTGCCATCTCAGCCCTCACGCAGCTGTTCCATACCCTGCAATTTCCTTTCCCCAGCGAGGTGCTGACACACCACCATCAAACCACTGCTCAATCCTTCCCTTCTGTAAGACAGGCAGTGAGAGTTGCTGAAATCCCCCAGCATCAGGCTTTTTTCTCCTGTCCTAAAAAGGTTACTGAGAGTTTCAGTTCTCAGTTCTCACTGAGGTCTGAATCCCAGCAACTTCCAAGCTTCCAGCTGCTTCCCAGCAGCGTGGGGAGATTTTGGGTCAGGCACCTTCCTCCGAGTTTAGCAAGAAGTGGTCAGAGGTAGGTGAAATCAGGCTGCCAGTGTCTGCAATCTCTCCCCTCCCCACCAGCACAAGCACTTCTTACCCACTTGGCAGATTCCTCCAATCTCCAAAGAAGGAGAAAAGGATGGGAAATTAAAAATAAATGAACCAAGAGGTGCACATCCATCAGGAGCCAGGCGTTGTCAGCCCAGGTCCCTGCGCAGCTACTACTTCTTTAATCAAAACCTCATGCAGCTTAAACGCTTGACAGAGGTCTAGAACAGAGATCTTGCTACCCTGAACAGGAAAAGCTGCAACCTTGAAGAATAAAATCGCTGTCTGACGGGGTCTGTGTTCTTTAAAATCACGCTAAATTACGCCAAGCCTGTTCCTAACTGTGACATTTGGGGTTTCACCCTGCAGATTCCTGTGAGACACACGAGTGTCTCGAGGGGGTGACCAGAGGTGACGGGAGGAGCGAGCTCTGGGGCGGCAGCTGAAGATGAGCCATTTCTAAATCGGTCCCTGACGCCAGACCTAAATTTTTAAGAGGCTCAAATCAGGAAAAGATTGCTGATGGATGCACTTCCCACTTAAAACTCACTTGCGTGGTGATGGACGTCAGACTAGTGGCCTCATGGCTATGCCTGGTTGCTATTGAGAGTGACAGAAACCTTCCAGCTTTCTGGAAAGTCCCCCTGTGAAAAGGCTCAGCCAGCTCTTTAAAGCCTCCTGCGTGCAGGTTAGCTGCCTCTCCTGACTTGAAAATATTTGTCCCTGAGGAGTTGTTATTTAATACCTTCCTTAGTTACCAAGGGATGGGAAGCTTCTCCCATGGTTCTGCAGCTTTCCAAACACAGATGGGATTTATTGAAGTTCCTGCTGCTCTGGCCTCATTAACGTTTTATGGCACAGCTCCAGAGATGTGCCTGCTCCTTGCCGGGTGCCCCTCTACAGTACCTCAGGTCTCCCCGCTGCACTGAACATCCTTGGGGAGTTTGAAGTGATTTCATTCCCAAAACAGCTCCACTGCTGCCTTTTGGGATCTCACCTGTGTTCCTGCCTCATGCAGGACCACGGCTCCCAGTAGCTCCTTTCATAACAGCCATGGCAGGTGGGAAAGCAGAGACAGCATGAGGAGGAGAGGGGGAAAAAAAAGGGAAAAACCAGAGAACAGTGCAGGAACACATCCAAGCTGTGCTGTGGCCAACATAACCTGGGGGCTGCCCAGGCAAGGATGGGATTTTAACATATATGGAGGGCATGGAAGCAGAAGAAGGGGTGCAAGCCCTGAGTTTGATGGGGAAATGCAGTGGGCAGCCCTGGGGAGACACCCATGGTGGCCTCCTGCACATGCCCACAGGGAGGAGGGTGGGAACTGGGAGTCCCGAGGCCTTTTTGGAATAGCTTTTCTCCCCTGTGGAGAACAGGAGGGAGCATCAGCACAATCCAGCTGGAGTCTGCAAATTGCCCCACTTAGGCTCTGGTCCTTGAAATTGCTCTCTTAGCCAAAGTACATCCATCGACCTGACAAGCATCAGGTTTTTCTCTGGAGCCACGCTCCTCCACAGCCTGCAGAGTTCGTGCTTCATCCCCAAACTCTGCAGGTTTAGTCCCAGAGAAACAAGCCTGGTGCTTACTAGGCCACCTTGCTGTGCTGGAGGCCTTGATATGCACCTCTCCATGATCCAAGCACCGCATGGAGCCAGGGTTTCCCCACCACATATTTATTCAGAGGCACTGCATAGCAAGGACAACCCGGCGCCAAACTTCGGAAGAGGCAGACCTGGCTGGAGTTCAGCAGAAACAGGGAATTAAGACACTGAACTAAATCAATCCATCCCCACCCAATTTCTATCCAAATCAGGAATTTCATGCACAGGAGGGATTTTGAGCATGGTCCCACAGTACTTATTGAGCAGAGAGAGTAGAGAGTGCTTGGTGCTGTGCAGAAATCCAGTCTTTGCACTTAAGCTCTTGGAAACCCAGAGTAATTCAGATGCAGAAGAGATCTCAGCTGCTGGGAAGGAACCCAAATAGCCAGGGACAGAGGGAGCCTGTGCAGGGATGTAGGGAAAGAAAGAGCTGCTGGCTGGGTGCAGGCAGGGGACACTGATCACATGGAAAAAAGGATGAGGAGGAGGTAAAGGAAGCAGGTCAGAGAAAATCAGGGATGTCTGGGGCCACTCTTGCTGAAATGTACCCAACACTGGGGGCTTGTTTAGGGCTGCAGTACCCACAGATCCCCTGCAAGAGCCTTCCAGAAGTGCCTGATGTGAGCCACACACTGTGACTGAAAACTCGAGGGAGATGCTCGGGTGCTCGAGCAGAGCATGGAGGGGTGGAGGCCCAGGGACTGTGAGATCCACCCGGCCTGTTACAGCTGGGGAAACACTGAATGCCACGTTCACCTCCCCAGAGCTTCCCCCAACACCCAGCTCGGGCTGCTCACTCAACCCCACGCCGAGGTGCCTCCTGCTCCCAGACCCAGCCTTGCACGTCTGGCTTGGAGTGCCACCTGCTGCCAACGGCACCGCTCTCCAGTCACCGGGAGGGGACAACAGCAACGCAGAGCAACGAACTTCCTGCTGTTACATCAGCTTTCCCTGTCCTTTAACAGCAGCCAAACTCCTGAGCCAAAAGGCAACGCTATTTCCCAAGCTGCAGGCGTCCCATGAGTTGCAGGCGTAGCAGCAGATGCTAATAAAGTACTTTTTTCTTTCTCTTTCATGCAGTTTTTTTGCCAGAGCCAGTCTCTCCCCACCCCCCCCGAGACCACATCCTGAATCTTCTTGTTCATTGATTCTTTATGCTAAATGATGACTCCGCAGTCGAAATAATGTGGCATATTCCAGCTCGCATTTCAGACACCGTGAGACTTTTTAATAACAAGTTGCATGAAAAATTAGGGAGGCTGCAACAAAGAGCTCTGACAGAGGTTTCCAAAGTGACTCACAGCCAGGAGAGCCTCGCTTTTCCAAAGCCCAGCGTGAGACAATCTCAAGAGCCCCCACGCTCAGAGAGAGATGAGTCCTCCCCCTCCGGAAAAATAAGGCCTCTTTAAGGAGAATTCTCCAGGGAGAGAATCCCTGTCGGGAGGTTTGGTGGGCAGATTTTGGAATCATGGCTGAAACAACATCCCATTCCCATAAGTGCTGGCAGGGACATTTCACCCCATACTTCAGCTGTGCTGCTGAGGGTGCTGTGGGGTGAGAGTCCCCTCATCCTGCAGCCAGCCTGCCCAAAGCTTCTCCCTGCTTGGCACATTGGTTCTGCAATGCTCAGAAACAGGGCCAACAATGATTCCTGCTGCTCTTGCAGGGAGGCAGCAAACCACAGTGGTACAGGGCAGTGGACACTCTTCCAGCCATGGTTCCTGGAGCACTGTGGCCTCCACAGACACAGCGAACACCACCCAAGCACAGGTACCCTGCTCCCGTTGGGGCTGGCTTGCTGCCAACCCTGCAGCTCTTTGCCAGCCTTTGCAGTGGAGGAGGAATTTTTTTTTTAGGTTAACTTTTGGCTGAGAGTTTTTCCTTCCTGCCATCCACACAAACAGCTGCCAACATATTTCAAGGGGAAGCAGTGGGCAGCGTATGCAGTGCAGCCCCCCGATGGGGGTTAATGCTGTTCATGCTCGGTCCCAGTGGTGACCAGTGCCTGAAGGACGGGTTTGATCGCTCTCCCCCTTCTCCCAAGCTCAGCTCCTAATTCCTGCTGCATTCTGTGCTGGCTCCCACCTTCACCTCCTCTGTGACATCCCTCATGGTCACCTCCAGCCCCAGGAGCTCACTCTGCAGCACAGCTCCTTGCTCACCCACCTCTAATGTCTAATTGAGCACCATTCCCCCCACCCAGCCCATCAGACTTCCCCAAAAGAGGTTTCTCCTCCAAAAGTGCATCACAAAGGAAGCTGAGAAAGGAAGGCTGAGAGTGAAGGAGCAGCTGGAGTGCAGGCAGCTCTTACCACATTCCAGAAGAGTGGGTTGAAGGCGATGGAGAGCACAGCCACAATGAAGCCAGTGTCAGTCACATCCACGTAGCCAAAGAGCCGTGCCATGGCTGCCACATCCACCTGGGGAAGGAGAGATGGTTACTGGAGTGCAGGTTCCCATGGGACACTGGCCATTACACCCGAACATGGGGCACTTCACCTCAAATCAAACCCATCAGCTGCCCCAAGAGTGGATGAATCTTCTAATGGCGCAAAGCAATGTGTTACACCTTGCAAAGCACTGTGTCAGGGTGCAAAGCCCAGTAGGAGAATGGGAGCTCCTCCAAGCCATTCCCCAAAAACCTCGGGGGCACTGGGCTCTCTGGGAGCCCCCACACTCACAGCAGTGCCCAGAAGGACATGGGCACTGCAATGACACTGCTGCTCTCACTTTGCTGCTCACAAAGTCTCACAAGTCTCACAGGGCAGCTGCCAACCCAAATATGTTTCAGGAAAGGGAGCACTGTCCACAGCACCTCGGTGTCCCTGCAGACAGAGAACTGCCCCAGGGATGCTGGTCTGCATGGAAACTCTAAGCAATGAACTGTGTCAGCCTTAAACTTGTCTTCCCTGAAAGAATAGTGATGTAAACCCCTTCCACAGCGAGGGGGATGTATTTGCATTGTAAGAAGCTGCAAAAGAATTTCCTGTCTTAATGACAACAAAAAACCCTTAAAACTCACTGTTCTCCTTATAAGAAAGAGCTTTTTTTCCCAGGATGGCTCCTGACATTGTCAGCACTTTTTACATGCAGTAAGCCATGCTGCTTCTCCCTCCTCACTCCCTCTCCCTGTGCTGGTATTTGATGAAAGACAGCCAGGGCCTTTTTTTTTGCCAAAAACTTTGAAAACAAAAGACAAAACAGCCCATCCCAAGCCCTTCCCTCGCTTGAAACAAAATCAAAGACAACATTGAGACATGGAAGGTTTTTGCTTCCCCAACACAGCTGTGTTTGCAAGTCCTTTGGATGCCAGGGGACAGAATGGCTCGAAAAGGCATCAGCTCCACCTCACCCACCCGGGAGAGAAATTCCCACTGGCTCCTCAAAGGTTCTTGGAAAGAACCAGAGCCACAGTATGATTCATGGAGAGGGGCTGGTAAGCACAGCACCACTCCTAGCCTGAAGAAAAGGCTGTGGGAATAGCTCCCGTGCTGGCCCAGGGCACATCCAGTCACTCCAAGTGCCTCCTGCCCAGCCATGACCACCCACAGTGCAAAGTACAGGAGAAAAGGCTGTACAGCCACGGGGAAAGGGGGGATCTTTATGGGGGTCCACAGCCTCCTTCAAACCACTAGCAGCCCAGCTCCCCCAGGCTTCTTCATCTGAGCCCTGGGGACAAGGGTGCTGGTGAGAAACTATGGGAACAGCCCCCAGGGCCTGATCCTGACCCGTCTCCCCCTGCTTCCACACTTGCCAGCCTCTCCTCCCCTCCCTTCACCCCCAAGCAGTCCTTTCCCACCAGACCTTGTCCCTTCAAACTGTCAAGCCGTAACCCAAGCACCCAGACAGCTGCTGGCACCGGGGCCGAACTGTCTAATCCTGCTTCAATTGCAATCCTGCAGGACCAGGACAGCTTCTTTCCTCTCGTTTTGTACGGTGCCGAGCACACCGCCAGCACGGGCTGAACAAAAGCTTCTTGACCTACTAACTCCCGGCTAGCAACATCGTTAACATTGCACTCACCTTCTTTTCTGCTCCTCAACAACCAAATTCGAGGCTGCTGCCAGCGGGAGGCAGATTGGCCTGTGCCTGGTGTGTGCTTTTCGGGATAAAAGGGGAGCCCTAATGGGATGAGCTGTCTCTGCGAGCTGCTGGGACAGCCACGTAACAGGCACAGAACATTCAACTTTGCCCCCTCCTCCCCGACGAGAATCAATGACCGTGGCAAGCACTGCCCGCTTGTCCACAGCCTCAAAGTCAGGGAGGGTGGGAGCAGCACAGGCACCTCGGTGAGAGATACATGGGCACCTGAGAGATTTATGGGTATCTGGGTGAGAGATAAATGGGCCCCTCGGTGAGAGATACATGGGCACCTGAGAGAGAGATATATGGGTGCCTGGGTGGGAGCTGCACAGGCACCCACGTGAGAGCTGCATGGGCACCTGGGTGAGAGATAAACGGGCATCTGGGTAAGAGATAAATGGGCACCTGGGTGAGAGATAAATGGGCACCTGGCTGAGAGCTGCACAGGCATTCAAACAAGAGCTGCGGAGGCATATGGGTGAGAGCTGCACAGGCACCCAAGGTAAAGAGCTGCACAGGCATCCAAACGAGCTTCACAGGCACCTGGGTGAGAGGTGCATGGACACCCAGGTGAGACCTGCATGGGAACCCAAACGAAAGCTGCACGGGCACCTGGCTGAGAACAGCACAGACACCCAAACAAGAGCTGCAGGGGCACCTGCGTAAGCCATCACGGGCCTCCTGCGCGGTGCCGGTGCCGTCCTTGCTGCGCGGCCGGAGCGCGGCTTGGGCGGAACCGGGCTGGGGAGGGCAGCGGGTGCACGTGGGGCACCGAGCGCCCCGGGCCTGCTGCGCCTGCGGGCACAACCCGCGGGTTATTCCCAGCGGATCCGCCGAGCCCCGCGGGGGCACCGGCGGGGGGAGGAGGGTGGAGGGGGCAAGATCCACCCCCGGGCTCCCTCCCCGGGGCCGCCCTCCCGCCCGCCCGCGGCCCGCCGGTACCTGGCCGTAGTCCAGGCCGCCCAGCCCCTCGCAGC